CCTGTGATGCTGCTTGGCCTGCTGTGTTCATCCAGCTCTGCACCTTGTTGTCTCAGTATAAATATGATTTGTCTGAAGAATACAGAGTATTGTACAAGTAATATTTCAATGAAAACCATGGGAAGAAAACCTTTGCATAAAATGGATGCATTGACAAATGAGGTGGAATATATCTTTCTTTCACATTGTTTCAGAATCTTTAATACTGTGAAATATCCCAAACCATTTCCATCCAATGACAACATGCCTCTCCTGCTATTTCCTGTCCCCAAATTATTTTTCAGGAAGATTTTATTCATTTATTCCACAAGCACTTACATTTAATGATTCCATTTAACTTTCCAATAATATTTAAGACTGAGATGATGTAAATTGTTTATGAATTTTTGGAGCGGTCTACTTGAAAACAAAGTCATTTGGCTCAGAAACACATCCTTCGCTCCAACCAGTCCATGCCAACCATCATCCCAAACTAAACCAGTCCCACCTGCCTACACTTAGCCCATAACCCTCCAAATATTTCTTATTCATGTACTTACCCAAATGTCTTTCTTGAATGTTGTAACTGTGCCTGCATCTATCACTTCCTCTAGAGGTTCATTTCACACACCAACCACTCACAGTGTAAAAAGAAAAATTGCCCCTCATGTCTTTTAAATCTTTCTCCTCTCACCTTAAAAATATGCTGTCCAATCTTGAAATCCACCACCCTAGGGAAAATACACCTACCATTCACCTAATCTACACCTCTCCATGGCTTTATAAACCTCTGAGGTCACCCCTCAACCCTCTTACACTCCAGTGAAAAACGTCCCAGCTCTCCCCATAATTCAAAACCTCCATTCCTGGCGAGGACTGGACTCTGGTGGAGGAAATGGCGAGGGATGGAAATTCTGGAATGGGACTCTGGTGGAGTCACGGCGAGAGATGGAAAGCCCGGAGCGGGACTATAGCCGCAGAAAGGAAAGTTGGATTCTCTTCAATTATCTTTGTTTTCTTTTCTTAATCTAAGTTAACGTGAACAACGCCATGTACGTACGGTGAAGGTACACACTATTCACTGTATTTTTACATTGAACACATGTGATGATAAATAACTCAAATCAATTCAACTCAACTCAACTCAACTCAACATCCTGGTAAATCTCTTCTGAACACACTCCAGCTTGATAATATCCTTCCTGTAACATGATGAAAGCAGAGCCTTCAAATGGTTATAAAGGCAGAGGTAGAGAGACTCTCGATAAGGGAATGGTATGTAGAAAGGTTATCAGGGATAGGCAGGAGTGTGTGGTAATCAGGTCAGCCATGATCTTACTGAATGGTACAGTAGGTTCTAGGGCTGAATGGCCTACTCCTGCTTCTAACTGGTATGTGTATATTTTTTAAAATTTATTCCCTCATGGGACATGGGTGTCACTGGCTGGGCCAGCATTTATTGCTCATTCCCAGTTGCCCTCAAGTTGCCCCAATGTATTCTAGTTCAAGTGTAAGATGGTTCTGTCAGCAAACACTGTAGTTGTAGTTTGCCTGCAATAACGCATAAACAGCAAATTTTAAAAAAAACTATAAACCTGGTGTTTCTTAAAACAGTATATCTGACAAGGCAGCATCTTTTCAGTATTGCACAGTCCATCCACAGGATTTCATTCTGTCTCCAGTGTGTGGGATTTGAACTGACAGATTCTTGACACCCTGGAAAGGTGTTAGCAAATAAAACAATCTGGAAGATTGTTTATAGAAAAAAAATGGATAACTTTATTATAGTGAAAGGAACACATCAAGGGAGGGTGAAAGGGGAGTAGGGAAATAGGCAGAGGGAAGGAAAGGCAAGGAGGATTGCATTCCTACAGCAACTGCCACAATGTCAGAGCTCATTGAAATATTTCAATACAGTGAAATACCTTTTCCAATTGTAGTCACTGTATTAACACAGGAACCGCTGCAGTCAGTTTGTATCTCACTTCTTTTCATTTATTCACTGAAGGATAAATAATGGCAGGGCCATGGGGAGTAACTCTGTTGCTTGTTTTTTGAATAGTTGAGAGGAGATGTGAGAGGCAGGTTTTCTACACAGGAGGGTGGTAAGAGCCTGGAATGCAATGCCAAAGGAGGTGGTGAAAGTGGCTACAATAGGAGCATTTAAGAAGCATATTGACAAACACATGAATACACAGGGAATAGGAGGATAGGGACTGCACAGAGGCAAAAGGTTTTTAGCTTAGAAAGGTGTCGTGTGTGGGTATAGTTTTGGTGAGCGAAAGGACCTGCTCCTGTGCTGGACCGCTTTCACTTTTTTGTTCTAGTTCCACTTGAGAGAGTAGCTAGGATATCTGTCCAATTAAGATTGATCTCCATCGAGGTGTGCGCTTTGGTTATTAAGGCCAAGGTGATCATCAAGTAAAGGGGAGTTTGGGGTCAGTGCATTCTGATGTTTCCATCTTAAATCACACATTCAATCCTGTGTAAAAATCTGGGAAATATCTCATCATCCACAAGAACACAATCAATGCATGTTTGCACCCATACCCTCCCACTAGTGTGATCCTGCAGTACCTTCATCACTGCAGAGTGCAATTACTGTGTGATCAACTTACATAGACTGATCCCACAGTAAATATGATATGGGAATTGATAATCTGTATCATTTTAAACATGGAACAGTTGGTCATAACTTGGCCTGAGTTAGTAGTTCATGGGCTCAAGTGCCACTGAAGTGATCACAACAATCTAGGCCAAAGTCAAAGCAGCGCTGAGAGAATGCCACACCATCCGGGGACAGGGGTTAGCGCTGAGGGAACGCCACACCATCCGGGGACAGGGGTTAGCGCTGAGAGAATGCCACACCATCCGGGGACAGGGGTTAGCGCTGAGGGAGTGCCGCACCGTCAGTGGGGGTCAGACCCGTGTATGATCCCACCACAGCAGATGGTGGAATTTGAAGTCAGTTTAAAAAAATCTGAAATTAACTATATACTGATGACCATGAAACCATTGTCGATTGTCAGGGAAACCCATCTGGTTCACTAATGTCCTTCACGGATAGAAAGCTGCCACCCCGACCTGGTCTGGCCTACATGTGACTCCAGACCCACAGCAATGCAGTTTATTCTTATCAGCCTGCTGAAATGGCTGAAGTAGCAAGCCACTTAGTTGTACCAATTGCTACAAATCTCAACAAAAAAATTGAACCAGACAGACCAACCAGGATTCACCTCAGCACCAGAAACAGCAAAAACAGCCCTGTCAATTCTGCAAAGTCCTCCATTCTAACATCTGGGGGGTGGTGCCAGAACTGGGAGAGCTGTCTCACAGATTAGTCAAGCAACAGCCTGACATAGTCATATTCTTGAAATCATACCTTCCAGACAATGTCCCTGACGCACCACCACCTTTCCTGGATACAGGACAGAGCCAGCAGAGGAGGCAGCACAGTGGTATACAGTCAGGAGGAAGTTACCCTGGGAATCCTCAGCATTGACCAGGCCCTATGCAGTCTCATGGCATCAGGTTAAACATGGGCAGATCATCACCACCACCTTCTCAAGGGAGAGACAATAGATACTGACCAAACAGTGATGCCCACATCCCATGAATGAATAATGAAAAAAAATGTGCAGATAGGCATCTAGGTGGGTATATGAACAGGGAGAGTTTAAACGGATATGGGCCAAATGCAGGCAAATAAGACTGGGTCAGATTGGGATGTCTGGTCAGCACAGATGACTTGGATCAAAGGGTCTGTTTCTGTGTTGAGATCATAAACTCCTGATCATAAATAAACTGATCATGAAGCTCTGAGATTGAATTGATCTTTACAGGAAAAGCATCAATATTGGGAATTCTGAAACTTTGCATAAAGCAACTAAAGTTCCCCAAAAGGTTCCCCTTCACCAGGGAAATGTCCTCAGTTTTTACCCTGAAAGCCGTAGTACAAATAAACGCAGACAGAATGTTGGTACGAAGTCTGAGAATTGCCCCACTGCACCTTCATTAACAAGCTGTTATCTGTGTATTTTACAACTAGTCCCAGTGAAAATTCTATTAAAGGAAATTTAAAAGTTGGATTTGATTTAATTTAAATATAAAATAACATTTCTATTGTTTACAAGTTCACTATGAAGTGCTTTAGGCAGTGATATAAACAGGGACCCCACCCAGTCTGAACAGTGTTACTCTCCTGACTGTAAATTGTTCTCGGCTGAAACGTCAGCGTTTCTGCTCCTATGATGCTGCTTGGCCTGCTGTGTTCATCCAGCCCTGCACCTTTTTATCTCTCACCTTTTTCTCCCTGATGCCTCCAGGTGAAATCCATTTCTGAGCTGACAGACCTTTAGCCTTTACTCTTCACTTACCTCTTCATTCCTGCTACAGGTTTCTTCCTGATAATGGGATCATGATCATTTTTAACTTTGCTCTAACTCCATCCCCTTACTTAGATCTAAAACCAATGCTTTCAACAATGTTACCTGATGTAGTTTGATGGAACTGGAAATGAAAGATTGCAGTAACTTTAGGCAGTATTTACAACACGACAGTATTGTCAATTCAGAGCAGTTTCATTTTGCATAGATGTTGCAGCTACTGTGGAAATCTATAGCTGCAGTGAGACTCTACACAGGAGATGGGGGTCTTGCTCTGGTTTATTTTACAGTTAGTTTGGGTCCTGCCACCCAATTTACTTTCCATGCATTTAATCTTGCTGGGAAAAATTGGGCAGAATCTTTTCACTGTAGTTGCTGCCACAATGGCCAGATGTCTGACTAGAGTGGCCCATGTACTGGTTGCTCGTGATCATCAGAGGTATAAGTCTAGCTGCATAAATGGCTCATGTCACAAAGGTTTGGCCCACAGGAAGTGCCATTGAAGGGCAATAAACTACTGACAGGTGAGCTGCAAGAACTTTGAAATTAAGACATTGTCTAGCAATGAAAACACTCAGAGAAGGAAAGCTTCGACAAGCAGTCTCTCAGTGGCCACAATACAGCTTGGCAGCGGCTGATTGTAGCCTCCCTGGCCTGTCATTCCAAAGAGCACATTCCTCCGTGACCCTGGGACAGGTTGGGAAATCCAGGACTAAGGGTCAAATTGGAGTTAACCGCTTTCTTAACAATCTCAACTGCTTCTTAATGACTTATCCAACAGTTTACTTGCTTGCCTCTAATTCTGCATCAGGAAGAGGGAGAGATCTCATCAAGATCCAATTTCTGGGACTTCCTTACCATGCAGGTCAAGAGTCCAGCTGGCATCGAATAGTGTTTCCAGCTCACTGAGGAGGAAAAATTGAAGGTAAACAAGGAAAATGTCATCACCTGGGATTCCTTTGTCTTTGTTGGTAATGAATGAGGAATATTTGAACAGAGCTAATTCTGTCAGCATTCTGTGCATTCCAGACAATGAATTATTTCTTCTGGCCATTCTGCCAGCTGCTTCACCAATGGGAAAGACAGAATCTGCCCTTAAGCCTGGGACCTGCTTGAAGCATGGACGAAACCCTCATTGGGACACAATGAGATTTCCTGGAACTATAATGAAGCAATGCGGGGAAATTTCTGGAAAGTGCGGCATTAACACACTGTAGTCTCGGTAAAGATAGTAGTGGGGCACATGATGGAGTTCAGTTTAAACACGGCACCTCTTGTACTGTCTAATTGCAGATTTCTAAAGAATGAGAGAACCTCTATTATTTTTAGGATCTTTCACAGACAGACAATGAGCTTGTTGGTATTTTGAACACAGCAATGTCTTTCAAACAGGACATGAAAATATTTATTCACAGGAAATGGGTGTAATTGGCTGGGCCTGCATTTTTGCCCATTGCTAATTGCCCTGAGGACAGTTAAGAGTCAACCACATTGCTGTGGGTCTGGAATCACATGTAGGCCTGACCGGGTAAGGATGGCAGATTTCTTTCCTGAAGGACATTAGTGAACGAGATTTTTTTTTTTTCCTGACAGATAGCACTGGTTTCATGGTCATCATTAAACTCTTAACTCCAGACTTTTTAAAAATTGAATGAAAATTCCACTCTCTGTCATGGTAGCATTTGAACCAAGGTCCCCAGATCATTACCTGAGTCTCTAGATTAATAGTCTCACAATAATACCACTAGGCCATCACCTCCCCTCTGCTGGTGTTGCCTGAAGGATGAATATTGGTTGAACAAATGGCAAAACTTTATGCTCTCCTTCAAAGAGAATCAAGGATCTTGAACACTAGTTGATGTGGACCATAGTGCAGCAATGTGCCATCTCACCCAGAGATGACACCTTCTGACACTGTAGCACTCCCTGAATCATGCACTGAAGTGTCAGCCTTGATTATGTACTCAGCTTTTGGAGTAGGATTTGAACTCATGACTCTTGGACTCAAGTCAGAGGTGATGATGCAGCTGACATGAAATGGAATGAACCTGGTGGAATGTTCTGTGATGCTGTCCAAGCTCCAGGACATAAGTATTACTCTTGCCTTTGGTGCCAAGACCAATGGTCCTTGAGAGACATTGATGATCATTGTCCCTGGACAATACTTTATTGTGGATGAGATGCTGAGGCTGTAAACCATCCTCACAGTTAAATAGTTTCACAGCCACTCGACAAATGGGCTCCGAGTGAGATAACTTTGGGGTATATGTAGAAACTTTTGGCAGAATATCCACATCTTCAGGAAAGAAGCAAGAGAAAAACCTGCCACAGGAAAACCACCTGGATTTCCTTAAAGTAACAAAATGAGCTGAGGCTGCAGTTATTTGAAGACACCAAGTTACAAGCCATTTAATTTATCTCCTTCCACACCTTAAACTCACCTACAACAACTATGGGTCTCCTGACGATGTTGGCTAACACAAAGATGTGGACATCCTGATAAATGTTTGCAAAAGGATGGCCTGCAGGAGACGCAGGATTGGATGATTCAATCACATTCTGCCATTCTTGATCCCAGATCTGTGTGAAAATAAAACAAAGTTGATTCCACAACAGAAAAGATATGACGTAGTGGGCATCACAGAGACATGGCTGCAAGGGGATCGGTATTGGGAGCTGAATATCCAAGGATACATGAATCATATCATCGAATCCCTCCAGTGTGGAAACAGGCCCATCGGCCCAACAAGTCCACACCGACCCTCAGAGCATCTCACCCAGACCCATCCCCGCATAACCCACCTAATCTACACATCCCTGAACACTACAGGCAATTTAGCAGGCCAATCCACCTACCCTGCACATTTTTGGACTGTGGAAGGAAACCGGAGCACCCGAAGGAAACCCACGCAGACACGGGGAGAATGTGCAAACTCCACACAGACAGTTGCCCGTGGCTGGAATCAAACCCAGGGCCCTGGTGCTGCAAGGCAGCAGTGCTAAGGTACATCTTATTAAAAAGATAGGCAGGGAGGCAGAGGGGGTGGGGTTGCCTTATTAGTAAGAAATGAAATTAAATCAATAGTAAGAAACAAAGTAGGGTCAGATGTTGTAGAATCTGTGTGGGTAGAGTTTAGGAACCACAAAGGTATTAAAAAACCATAGTTGGGGTTGTGTACAGGCCTCCGAACAGTAGTCAGGAGCTGGGGCGCAAGATACACCTGGAGATAGAAAAGCTGTGTAAGAAAGGTAAAGTTACAATGATCATAGGGAATTTCAATATGCAGGTGGACTGGGAAAATCATGTTGGTAGTGGATTGCAAGAAAAGGAATTTGTGAAATGTCTACAAGATGGCTTTTTGGAGCAGCTCATGGTGTAGCCCACGAGGGAACAGGCAATACTGGATTTGGTGTTGTGCAATGAGGCAGACTTGATAATGGAGGCTTAAGGTAAAGGAATCCTTAGGAGGCAGTGATCATAAGATGATAGAATTTACTCCGCAATTTGAGAGGGAGAAGATAGAATCAGAGGTAACGGTATTACAGCTGAATAAAGGTGACTACAGAGGTATGAAGGAGGAGCTGGGCAGAATTGTCTGGAAGATGAGCCTACCAGGAAAGACAGTGGAACAGCAATGGCAGGAGTTTCTGGGAGTAATTCAGGAGACACAGCAAAAATTCATCCCTAGGAAAAAGAAGCATGGTACAGAGAGGAGGAGGCAACCAAGGCTGAGTAAGGAAGTCAGGGACCGCATAAAAGCAAAAGAGAAAGCGTAGAATGTGGCGAAGGGACTGGGAAGCTTACAAAGACCAACAGAGGGCAACAAAAAAAAAATAAGGAGGGAGAAGATTAAATATGAGGGTAAGCTATCCAGTAATATAAATGAAGACTGTAAGAGTTTCTTTAGGTATGTAAAGGGCAAAAGAGAGGCAAAAGTGGACATTGAACCACTGGAAAATGACGGTGGAGAGATTGTAGTGGGGAACAAGGAACTGGCTGAGGAACTGAATTACTTTGTGTCAGTCTTCACAGTGGAAGACATTAGTAACATCCCAAAAATTTGAGGGGGCAGAGCTGACCATCACCAGGACCAGATGGATTACACCCCAGAGTTCTAAAGGAGGTAGCTGAAGAGATAGTGGAGGCGTTAGTGGTGATCTTTCAGGAATCGCGAGAGTCAGGGACGGTCCCAAAGGACCAGAAAATCGCTAACATGACACCCCTGTTTAAAAAGGGAGTAAGGCAAAAGACGGAAAATTACAGGCCAATTAACCTAACCTCGGTCATAGGTAACATTTTAAAGTCCATTGTGAAGGATGAGATTTCTGAATAGTTTGAAGTGTATGGTAAAATAGGGCAAAGTCAGCATGGTTTCATCAAGGGGAGGTCATGCCTGACAAATCTGTTAGAATTCTTTGAGGAAGTAATGAGCAGGGTAGACCAAGGAGAGCCCATGGGTGTTATCTACCTGGACTTCAAGAAGGCCTTTGACAAGGTGCCGCACAGGAGGCTGTTGAGTAAAATAAGGGCCCATGGTGTTACAGGCAGGGTGCTAGCATGGATAGAAGATTGGTTGTCTGGCAGAAAGCAGAGAGTAGGGATAAAAGGGTCTTTCTCAGGATGGCAGCCGGTGACGAGTGATGTTCTACAAGGGTCAGTGTTGGGACCCTCCCACTTCCTACAGACAAAGGGGATGGCCATGGGTACCCGCATGGGCCCAAGCTATGCCTGCCTCTTTGTAGGTTACGTGGAACAATCCTTCTTCCGTACCTACACTGGCCCTAAACCCCACCTCTTCCTCCATTACATTGATGACTGTATCGGCGCCGCCTCGTGCTCCCACGAGGAGCTCGAACAGTTCATCCACTTCACCAACACCTTCCATCCCAACCTTAAGTTCACCTGGACCATCTCTAATACCTTTCTCTCCTTCCTGGACCTCTCTGTCTCCATCTCGGGCAACCACCTAGCAACCGATATCCATTTCAAGCCCACTGACTCCCACAGCTACCCAGAATACACCTCCTCCCACCAACCTTCCTGCAAAAATGCCATCCCCTATTCCCAATTCCTTTGCCTCTGCCGCATCTGCTCCCAGGATGAGGCATTCCACTCCCGTACATCTCAGTTGTCCTCGTTTTTCAAGGACCGCAAATTCCCCCCTCAGTGGTCGAGAACGCCATCAACCGTGTCTCCCACATTTCCCGCAACTCATCCCTCACACCCTGTCCCCGCAATAAGAACCAAAAAAGAATCCCCCTCGTCCTCACGTACCACCCCACCAACCTCCGGATCCAATGCATCATCCTCTGACACTTCCGCCATCTACAATCCGACCCCACCACCAAAGACATCTTTCCCTCCCCACCCTTATCTGCTTTCCGGAGGGACCACTCTCTCCGTGACTCCCTTGTCTGCTCCACACTCCCCTCCAGCTCCACCACACCCGGCACTTTTCCCTGCAACCGCAGGAAGTGCTAAACCTGCCCCCATACCTCCTCCCTCACCCCAATCCCAGGCCCCAAGAAGACTTTCCACATCAAGCAGATGTTCACCTGCACATCTGTCAATGTGGTATACTGCATCCGCTGTACCTGTTGTGGCCTCCTCTACATCGGGGAAACCAAGCGGAGACTTGGGGACCGCTTTGCAGAACACCTACATTCGGTTCGCAATAAACAACTGCACCTCCCAGTCGCGAACCATTTCAACTCCCCCTCCCATTCCTCAGATGACATGTCCATCCTGGGCCTTTTGCAGTGCCACAACGATGCCACCCGAAGGTTGCATGAACAGCAACTCATATTCCGCTTGGGAACCCTGCAGCCCAATGGTATCAATGTGGATTTCACAAGCTTCAAAATCTCCCCTCCCCCTACCGCATCCCAAAACCAGCACAGCTCGTCCCCGCCTCCCTAACCTGTTCTTCCTCCCATCTATCCCCTCCTCCCACCTCAAGCCGCAGCCCCATCTCCTATCTACTAACCTCATCCCGTCCCCTTGATCTGTCCGTCCTCCCTGGACTGACCTATCCCCTCCCTAACTCCCCACATACACTCATCTTTACTGGCTCCATCCCCGCCTCTTCGACCTGTCTGTTTCCTCTCCACCTATCCTCTCCTCTATCCATCCTCTATCTGCCTCCCCTCTCTCCCTATTTATTTCAGAACCCCCTTCCTCTCCCCCATTTCTGATGAAGGGTCTAGGCCTGAAACGTCGGCGTTTCTGCTCCTATGATGCTGCTTGGCCTGCTGTGTTCGTCCAGCTCTGCACCTTGTTGTCTCGGATTCTCCAGCATCTGCAGTTCCTGCTATCTCTATTTCAAGCCTACTGACTCCCACAGCTACCTAGACTACACCTCCTCTCACCCACCTTCCTGCAAGAATGCCATCTGCTCCCAAGATGAGGCGTTCCACTCCTGGGCATCCCAGATGTCCTCATTTGTCAAGGACTGCAACTTTCCCCTCTACATCGCTGAAAACGCCCTCGACCGCATCTCTTGGGTTTCCCGCAACACAGCTCTCACACCCCCTCCCCGCAATAACAACAAAAACAGAATCCCCCTCATCCTCGTGTACCACTCCATCAACCTCCGGGTCCAACGCATCATCCTCCGGCAGTTCCGCCACCTGCAATCTGACCCTACTACCAAGGATATATTTCCCCCCCCACCCTTATCTGCCTTCCAGAGGGACCACTCTCTCCATGACTCCCTTGTCCGCTCCACACTCCCCACCAGCCCCACCACACCCAGCACTTTCCCCTGCAACCGCAGGAAGTGCTACACCTGCCCCGACACCTCCCCCCTCACCCCCATCCCAGGCCCCAAGAAGACCTTCCACATCAAGCAGATGTTCACCTGCACATCTGCCAATGTGGTATATTGTATCCGCTGTTCCCGTTGTGGCCTCTTCTACATCGGGGAACCAAGCGGAGGCTCGGGGACCGCTTTGCGGAACATCAACGCTCGGTTCGTGACAAACAACTGCACCTCCCAGTCGCGAACCACTTCAACTCCCCCTCCCACTCCTTGGACGACATGTCCATCCTGGGCCTCCTCCAATGCCACAATGACACCACCCGAAGGCTGGAGGAACAGCACCTCATATTCTGCCTGGGAAATCTACAGCCCAATGGTATCAATGTGGACTTCACAAGCTTCAAAATCTCCCCACCCCTGACCTCATCCCAAGACCAGCCCAGCTCGTCTCCGCCTCCTTGACCTGTCCATCTTTTCTTCCACCTATCCGCTCTTCCCACCTCACTGACCAACCCCACCCCCACTTCCTACCTCCTAGCCCCATCCCCGCTTCCTTGACCTGTCCGTCTTCCCTCCCACCTACCTGCACCTCCCTCCTCACTGACCAACCCCCATTCCAACTCCCTACCTACACTCACCTTTACTGGCTTCATCCCTGCCTCCTTGACCTGTCCGTCTTCTCTCCACCTATCTGCTCATCTATCCACCTTCTACCATCGCCTCCCCCTCTCTCTCTATTTTTTTCAGAGCCTCCTTCCCCTCCCCCATTTCTGAAGTGTCCAGACCCAAAACATCAGCTTTCCTGCTCCTCTGATCCTG